AACATCCTCATGAACCTCAAACATCCTCATGAATCACAAACATCCTCATGAACCTCAAACATCCTCATGAACCACAACAAACATCCTCATGAATCACAAACATCCTCATGAATCACAAACATCCTCATGAACCACAACAAACATCCTCATGAACCACAAACATCCTCATGAACCACAAACATCCTCATGAACCTCAAACATCCTCATGAACCTCAACAACCTGATGAATCATGATTTCAATGTTTTCTCTCAGACACGTTCAACACGATGGACAAAGATAACTCAGGAACCATCGAGCTGAGCATTCTGGAGGTGAGAAGGTTTTTTTCTTCAGTGATTATAACAGATATGTCTGAAAGTCAGTTGTGACGTTGATGTGTTTTCCTGCAGTGGCTGAACGTGTCTATGCTCTGAAGAACCAGGACCCGTCTGATTCAGGACGTTCAGACCTGCACGGACACGTTTGAATAAATATAATCTGATCACGTTTTAATGAGAAACTAATGAGCTCGTTAAACAATTATTAATCAATGAATTCAGAATAAAGAGAATTTTAAAACAGAATCTGTGTTTTTATTTCTTTTAAAACAAAGAAACATTCAAATCAATAAAATGTCCATTTAAATAACGATCTAAGTTAAATAGTGGGCTGGTGTTGAATCCTCCACCAGGAGGCGCTGTGACTTCATGTCACCTCTCTTCAAGACATCATCGTTGTGTTTTGTGTCGGGCAAACTCCTCTGCCCACCTCAGAGCCTCTGTGATGTCACTGCTGCTTCCTGTTCCCTTGGCAACCACTGCTGTGCCCCCAGCACTCCCCCCGAGGTGCTGACACAGCGCCAGCGCCCAATCAGAGGCCGGGAGAGAGTTCGCATCCTGAGGAGGGAAGAACACATTTACACAAACCAACCCGAGATGTTAATGACATGGCGGTGAGGCGAACACAGAAGAATTGAATGGAGCTGACCGGTGAGTCGAGGTTACCTTGGGAACCTGACAGGCACAGAGAACCTTCCCAGAATGCCTCTGGTGAGCGAGCAGCATCACGTAACTGAGAGGAGAAACGGCGCTCACCTGGTTCACCGTCTTCATCACAACCTGGAATTTGTATTCATTTTACTTTCTCCACTTTGGTTAAAATATTTTTCTGATTCATAACAACAGTTCGTTACAGAGCAACCAATCAGCACAGTGCTGTCTGGGAGGCGGAGCTACAGGGACATCAGGTTCTCACCGACAGAGAGTCCGTCTCCAACGAGTCCACCAGCAGAACCTTCCTGCCGTTCTTCTCCAGCAGGGCCTGAGCATTACCTGCAGCCTGAGCAAAGCATGATGGGAAAACAGAATAGAATCACCATCCTGTGGTCGTACAGCTCTGTCCACCATGACCACTCAACTCTCATCACCTCATTTATGAGTTCAACTGAGCGTTTGTATCAAATCTGAAGAAATTCCCTCTTGATATTATGTAAAGAACGTTTAGCCTCTGGCCACGTTCACTAGTGTGAAGACAAAAACCTCAGGGACAACAGGTCATCGGTTAGAACAGGTGGTTCAGGTGTGACTGAGGCGTCACTCAGGTGTGAGCGCTCACCTCTCTGGTCTCCAGCCTCCTGACGGCCGTGTTGCTGCTCCTCTGCAGAGCTCTGAGTCGATGCTGCAGTTCTCTGCGCTGCCACTGGGGGATGGGTGTGGTATCTACTGTCTGACAGAAACAGCAAATTGATCCATGGCTGCGTTCAAATCCTCCATTTTGCTTATGAACCTTTTTTAACTGAGTGAAATGACCTGAAGTGTTTCTACAGCCGCCATGAGAAGAACTTTACTCTAAATGATGAGGAAACCACAGTACGCAGTGCATTCTGGGTAGGATACCTACATCAGAGAGGACTCCAACCTCCTTGGCGAGGCGCTGGGCAGAGTCAAGATGGGAGTGGGCGGAGTCTGTTAGTCTGGCTGCCAGAGAATCCACATCCTCAGACAAAACCTGACCCGCCTCCCGAGCCTGGACACAACCACTTTACATTTTTTTCAGACTTTAACCTTTCTAACATCGAGAGCAGACAGGATGTGATGTCACTGACCCTTGTTGCTTCCTGTCCCGTCACAGCGATGATGCGACTGATTCCTTTGACCATCTGTCTTTCGGAGACAATCACCAGATCCTCGATAGCTCCGGTCTTAAGCAGGTGACTGAACAGAGACAGGAAGCAGCGGTGACAGGTTCACACTTCCTGTTGATGTTTCACAGCTTTCAAAATAAGTTGATCAAACATCCGTTTCCTGTGTGTTGTTGTGTACATGCAACAGGTGTGTGTTTCAGTCTCACGTTCCACAGCAGAGCTCCACAGACGTCTGTCTGTCTGTCTTATCGTCCAATAGCTCAGAAACAGGGACCGCGACCGACACCACGCGGACAGGGTCAGGATACACCTGAGACAGGAAGTTACAGACGGTCAGTGCACCTACAGAGAGACGGACCAGGTCTAATGGTGGACTGACATTCACCTCGTCCACTGTTCTCAGTCCCTTGATGCTCCTGGCGGTCTGCAGAGGAAGCTCCTGGCTGTGGACGATCTGATTGGCTGAGACGATGTCGTTAACACACTTCTCTACTTGCTGCAGCTGAGAGACGCTCAGAGAACCCTGAGGTAGAGAACACGTTACAACCACAACACACACCTGATTGGTCAGTGTCAGGTAGACAGTGAGACAGACATGTGGACAGTGAGAGACAGACATGTAGACAATGAGACAGACAGACAGTGTTTGACCTTGACAGTGAAGTCGAAGCGGAGTCGATCAGCTGACACATGAGAACCTCTCTGATGAACTGAAGAACCAAGAACTGTCTTCAGAGAAAAGTTCAACAGATGAGTCGCTGTGTGTCTCACCATACACGACCACCTGTGACTCTAAACACAGAGACAGACACACACGTCCATCTTTAAGTTTCACATGCACTCGATATATAACATCAGACCTGAACGTAACTGAGGACAGCTCCAGGATCTACTTCCTGTTTACCTCATCCAGGTGTAAGTGGACCTTGTCTCCAGTCTTCAGAAGCTCAGTGGCGGTCACCTGATGGACCACGTACCCCCCTGCCACAACCACGTGCTCCACAGGAAACAGCACGTCCTTAGAGACAGGAAACACCTGGGATCATGACTCATCTGGACCTGCACCTACCCACAATGCCCTTCCTATGTGCACGGTCCACTCACCTGCAGTCCATCCCGGGTGAAGTAGCCCTGGTCATGTGACTGCCCCCCCTGCTCAGAGTAGAAACACGTCCGATCCAGGATGACGCCACAGCGCTGACCCTCAGTGACCTCTGACACCAGAGTCTGACCGTCGTACAGCGCCAGGACCGTTGCACTGCATTCAGGGAAAACTGCAAAGAGAGACGATGGTTACCTGTGTGAAGCGAGCTGAGGTCAGGTGTGTTACCGGTGCAGGTTCACCATGTCCCACCGTATTGTTCCTCTTCCTGTCGGTACCGGTACTTGAGGCTGTCGTCGGTGTGAGGAACGGTGAGACGCTGCAGCTCCGCCAGGGAGACGACGTCCAGCATCAACTGAGACTGCTCACCTGACCGCACCTCTGACGCCACCTGAAGTACACAGACAGGCGTCTGATGACATCATCACTTACCTGAGAGTTCACGGTTCACTACTGTTAATGATCAGGTCTGGTTTCACAATAAAAGCCCCTTGTCTGCTTCACAGGAAGTCATGCAGCCCCTTCACAATTAAAGTTGGGAGTCAACAGGTGCATTGTAGGAGCTGGTTTCCATAGTAACCTTTTGGTTCTCTGCAATGAGTCGGTCCAGCTCCTGACGGTCGACCTGGACTCCTCTCTCCTCCAACATCAGGTCGACCAGGTCCAGAGGAAAACCCAGATCCCTGTGTAGAGACCAGACCACCGAGACTGAGAGAGAGAGAGAGAGAGGGAGAGAGAGGGGGGG